AAATTCTGATTTCCCGTTATTTTTGACGGGCTGTCTAATCCTCAAAAAACATCAATCAAATTTAGCCAATAGTATTCATTTAAAAAATACTCATCCAATAAAAATCATAACATATAAATTAGTTTAGTCAAATATATTTTTGCTATTAAATTATTTAATACTCTATTTCTTTTTTAATTATTGGAAATTCGTCCTACTGAAATTGGGAGTTATTCTTAATTAGATTTACCTAAAACACAATTTGAACAATTTAAGTTATGTTGAATTAAAACTTTAATATATAAATTATTTAGCGCCATCTTTTTTTTTCTTTATAGCTTTCACCTTTTATGGTGGTAATCTCCTTCAAACTCATGCTAACTATTTTTAACTCATTCTATCTATTTATTATTCATTTATATTTTCTGTCTTTCGATTCCATTTGGATCTCCCACCGGAGTATCGCTATCGAGGCCATTTTATCTTCATCTAACACAGAAGTATCGACAGATATCCTAATGGAGTATTTCTCACACAGATGTATTGGTATCGACAGATATCCCACTAAAGTATTTCTCACACAGATGTATCGGTATCGACAGATATCCCACTGGAGTATTTCTCACACCGAACACTGGAGTATTCCTATAGATTCTGTAATCCCAATGGATCTCCCACCGGAGTATCGTTATTAGCTTGGTAGAAATTGCGCTTGAACGGCCCCCGAGGTCATCATTATCCTACCGCTGGCCAAGAGATCGTTATCATCCTTGAATGACCCACGAGTTCAGCTGGCCATCTTAATTGGTTTATTGGACAGTATCCTAGCACCCGGCTGTCCAAGCCTGTCGGTGACCGGGGTGGCATCTCTCAGCTCAGAAAATCATCTTATAATATGTCTATACACATCTGTTATCGAAGAAAAATCTGAAAATTTTTAGTTCCTTACCAGGATTGAACCTGGGACCTTCTGCTTCCAAGCCTACATCGTTCACCACTGGGCCATCCCGGCGACATTTAGCGCCATCTATCATATGAATATATATTTTAAATAACATTATATTTATAAGAGAAAATGTAAATGTTTTAGGTAATAAATTATAAATATAAATGAATAAAAATTTATTATTTTGAAAGTTTTTTATTGTGCACATAAATTAAAATAACTAAATATATACTTTATATACATATTTTATAAAAATAATGGAAAATTTTAGATAAACCCTCATCTAAATAAATATAAATTTCTGAATCACATCTCATAAGTTAGGAAAATTTCTGGTTCATCCATTATCAAGTATATTTTGGGGTGGGGAAATATTTTAATATATAATATTAGCCATAATTAATCAGTAATATTTTAACAAATAATTTTAATATGGGTCTCAAGTGTAAGCTAATTTAAATATATTTTGACTTACAAAATATCACTCTTGGTCTTAATGGGTTGGAATCGACCTGAAGGGGGGGGGGGTAAAAAGAATAAAAATTTGATATGATTTTTAAATAAAAGGTAACATTTGTCGTAAAAGAACGAAGAAAATATTCCCCGTCATTTTTTACGGGCTATTTACTAGTAGTTAAATATTAACGATTTATATATATTATTTCTTAAATAAATTAGATGAGACAGACTCCGATAAAGAAGAAGAGAAGATTTGTAGACAAGCTAAAAAAGAATTGAAAAGGTTTAAAGTCTATAACCTTAAAAGAAAATGCGAGTTAAACGAAAAACTTGATAAATACGAAAAGGAAGAAAAGATTATTAGATCCAAAATTGATAAAAACGTAAAACGGTTAAAAACCATTTTAGAATCCGATGATGAATAATATTTTTATTTTTTTTGATTTTAAAATATTTTTATTCTATTATATGTATTTATAAATTCTATTTATTAAAGATTATATTGATAATATTATCTATCTTATCTAGCACGTTGGTCATAGACCTGCCCAAAATGAGCGGACGTGAATTATATGAAGGCCCACCTTCATATCATAAGCCTTTCCTGTCGTACAAAAATAGCTGGACGGAAAAATAACGAAATCCTTAGAAGAACTCGACCTATCCTGGGTTTTCCTAGAGAGAGCGTCGAGCGACAGAAAAATTTTCAAATTCATTCTCAGCCTAATTTATATTGACTTGATAAGGCACTTTTTTAAAAGAATTCTATTGGCTAATCTTGTGATACAGCCTTTTATTAATATAGATAATATTATCAATATAATCTTTAATAAATAGAATTTATAAATACATATAATAGAATAAAAATATTTTAAAATCAAAAAAATTAAAAATATTATTCTTCATCAGATTCTAAAATGCTTTTTAAGCGTTTAACATTTTTTTCTATTTTGGATTTAATTATTGTTTCTTCTATTTCGTTTTTTATAAGTTTTTCTATTAGCTTTCCTTTTCTATTCAGGTTAAATTGTTTAAACCTTTTAAACCCTTTTTTTGCTTCACTGCAAATTTTTTCCTCTTCTTTTTCCGAGTCTGTCTCATCTAATTTATTTAAGAAATAATATATATAAATCGTTAATATTTAAGACTAAGAGTGATATTTTGTAAGTCAAAATATATTTAAATTAGCTTACACTTGAGACCCATATTAAATTTGTTAAAATATTACTGATTAGGATTACTTATGGCTTATATTATATATTAAAATATTTCCCCACCCCAAAATATACTTGATAATGGATGAACCAGAAATTTAAATACCTATCATGCAGTACAACATTCATAGAGCTACTTAACATCACAATTTTGGTAGAATCTTTCCCCATAATATTTAACAACTAATATAAATGAAAACTATACTTTGTAGAACACAAATAAACAAGGCTATCATCAATGTTTTAGGATATAAATCCAGAAGGTCAATTCTTGACGATTTGAAAGATGTGCAAACATATGCAATTCTAACAGATGCATCTAATAAGGTGATATCAAAACGACTTTTAAGCGTGAAGTTGGCACAAATTTTTATTTTTGCTTATAACTTTTTTTCCTTAAATTCGGCTACTATACGGATTGAAGCACTAACAAGCACTAACGAAGCACTAAAAAATGACACATGATTCATCGTTAGTGCTTCCAATCGTTCGGCAAACTTCACGGAGCTAACTTTGCTTTATATTTGATAGATTTTAGATTTATGAAATCCGTCTGCAGAACTTGGGAGAACTTAGGAAAAACAAATTTTCATTTTATATTTTTATTTTCAGAATTATAAATAATTTCTTTCATATTTAATTTTTATTGAAATTATTTACATTTATTAAAAAATTTTTATAATTATTTTTAACCTTAATGTTTAACATTTCCTTTAGTTGTAATTACTTTACCGGCCGATTTGTCTGAAGATTTTAGAAAGTATGGATTGAATTTTGTGATCAATTACAAAACCATAAGAGAGAAAGGGCTGTAAGTTCTTATTACTAATAAGTTGTCCATATTTTAGATACTATATGGTAAAATTCTCAATAGAAACCTTATTTATAGTTTTCAATTAAAAAAACACATTGTGAAAAATTCAATATTTTTATAATTAGGTGGTGAGAATGGTTTTTGATTGGATGAATAAGTCGGATCCTATAATAATTAAAACATTTATATGAGATAGAACTATATTTTTATATAAAAAATTTAAAATCATATGTTTAATTAAAATTTTTCGTTCCTTTATGCCAAAGCTGTTAAAGTATCTAGATTCAAAATATCGTGTCTGTATCGAAATACACTTTATAGGAAGTATCGATATCTAGACACTATTTTATATCCGTTTTTAGCCTTTTAAGATACATTTTCATATTACTGGAATTTAACGTTTTTTGTTACCTAAAAATAATATTTGAGTGCAAAATTCATTTTATCTCATGAGCATATCTAAATAAATATTTAATGAAAATGAAAAATTAAAAATATATTTGAATGCAAAATTCATTTTATCTCATATGAGCATATAATTTAAATAAATGTATAATAAAAAAATTTAAAAAAATATATATACAAAATATTAAAACTTATATATAAAATGTTAAAACTTGTATATAAAAAAATATAAATATTCATAACATTTTTCCCCATTTCAATCTATAGATATCAGTTCAAGATTGTGAAGGATATTTTTATCTTGTAAAGGAATATATAAATTCTTGCCTAGCCATAACGTCCATGAATTATTAAAAACAAATTGATGCACAAAATTATTTTAAGCAACTAAATTTATTAAATTTTTTTAATTTATAGATATTCCACTAACTAGTTAATAAATTATAAGTTTAATATAAAAATTTTTCTTATAATAAATGCTCCTTTTAAATGAGAATTTAAAAAAAACGATAAAATTAGGGGTGTTGACATTATTTTTTTATATGGTGTTGGAATTGAATAAGAACAAAATGTTAAAATGTTTACTCTCATAATAAGAGTTTCTGTTCGAGAACAACGGCACCTAGATACATTTTTAAAATTGTATTTGTGTATAGATACTTTTTTAGGCAAAATATCGGTATATAGATCTTTTTAGGTGATGTATTTTTATCTAGATCTATTTAAAAAGTATCTTTTATCAACTGCTTTGTACTATATATTTTTATGTTATTAATATTTTGGAAAATAAAATGTCCCAAAATAATAGGATATGTTTTTAATATAAAAAAATGAGTACCATTCTAAATCAATAAAACCAAAATTAATTTAGTATTTTGTTTATATCCAAGAAAATTTTAAAAGGGATATTTAAAATAATGGAGTTTTTAAAAAATTCGCTAAAAATGGGGGGAAATGTCAAGATCCCCAATTTTATTTAAATATCAATAAAGAACCTATTACAATAAAATGTATCTAATGAAAGATACTGTTAGAAATATATCTGATGAGATACAGATACAACATTTATATAATTAGATATTTAACAACTAATAGTCAATATCTATTAGGTCACTATATACATATTACTATATCCATTGGGTTCATAAAATTATAATTATATTTTTTTATTTAATAGATAAAATTATCTCAAAATTTTTCCCAAGATTCGCGATTTTGACATGGCAAAAAAACCCTCCACAGTGACAACAAACACACGGATAATACAAATCATCCTGATCTCCTAAATTTTGCTGATTCAGGAGCAAACTACGATGCCGAGTCACCTCTCGGTAAGAAAGTAATGCTACCCAAGTCATCCGATATTAAGTTGGAGGAAGCAACTCGAAAGGTTTTAGAAAGAAATACTAATTTATGTAGTTTAAAATAAATGTGGGATTTTGGCAAATAGTATAATAATATTTCCTTTATTTTTTAAAAAGAAAGCTGAGCTTCCCCTGAGATTGTAAAGCCTATTTCTCAAAAAATAAAATTAGGGTCGAACATGGAATTTTGAAAATAAATTATCGGATTGGTTAGACAAATTTTTTTGTTAGATAAGTTCAGACCTGAAAAAATAGCGGTGTCAATTACTAAAAAAAATTAAAAACATGTTCTGGTTCCAAACTTTTAAAATTTTAAAATAAAAATAAACCTGACATAAGATTTTGAACAAGATAACACATAAAAGGTTGGTCCTTTAACATTGAAACCTATTCGGATTCGTGTTTTATCTTGAGACGTGGTTACCACCCTTAATGTGTGTCTCCACGTGACATTTTAATAGACGGTTCAATGTAACATTAGTATTTTAGAATGAAATATTATTCATTATATTTTTTTTTATTGTAGGACATACCTGGATCTTCCAAGAACACTTCCGAAAAAAAGGGTTAATTCTATACTTTAATATTCAGTTTGCATCGTTTCGTCTTTCCTTCCTCTCTATTTTTTAAATCGGAGTCGTCGAACCTATGTTTTAACTGATTAATATGTCTTCTCCATACCCCTAATTTAGTTTCAGCTAAAAACGTCATTGGTCCTGTTCTTTTAACGATGATACCTGGTATCCAATTATCTTTTTTTAAATCTTTTGCATATATTTTCTCATTTATATTAAAAATACCTGGTAACTGGGGTATGTGTGGATGAGGATAAATTGGTTTTATTAATTGACAAGTTTTATTTATTTAATATAAATATTATAATAATACTAGTAGATAGCCCTTCAAAAATGACGGAGGATAAGAATTTTCTTTGTTCTTTTACGACAAATGTTACCTTTTATTTAAATATCCAATTTTTATTCTTTTTGCCCCCTTCCCCCTTCAAGCCAATTCCAACCCATTAAGACTAAGAGTGATATTTTGTGAGTCAAAATATATTTAAATTAGCTTGTACTTGAGACCCATATTAATTATTTGTTAAAATATTACTGATTACCTATGGCTAAAATTATATATTAAAATCTTTCCAAGCGTGCAAGACCTTAATAATTTTGAAAAATATTTCCCAAGCCCACCCCAAAATATACCTGATAATGGAATAACCAGAAATTTTCCTATCTTATGAGATGTGATTCAGAAATTTATATTTATTTAGATAAGGGGTTATCTAAAACATTTAAAAAAAAATAAAACTAATAAATTTAGTAAAATATAAGCTATAGACTTGGATGCTGAATTATAAAAAATTCAATTCTTTAATGCGTAATTTAATTGGCAGGAAAACAATAATTTGATCGATCTGTGGGTGTTAGGTAGTGTTAACCATCACCCAATATTATATTGATCATAACTATAATATAATATAATCTTATAACCATTAAATAATGTATAAATTTTTATAAAAAATATTAAGGCCCGGCCCGGGTTCAACAATCTTAGGCCCGGCCCGTATATATTAAAAAAAAACAATAGAATTTTTAAAAAAATACTCATCCAATCAAAATCATAACATATAAATTAGTTACTGATTATAGTCAAATATATTTTTGTTATTAAATCATTTAATAATCTATTTCTTTTTTAATTATTGGAAATTCGTCCTACTGAAATTGGGAGTGATTCTTAATTAGATTTACCTAATATTAACACAATTTGAACAATTTAAGTTATGTTAAATTATAAATATATAAATTATTTAGCGCCATCTATCATATTAATATTTATTTTAAATAGCATTATATTTATAAGGGAAAATGTAAATGTTTTAGGTTATAAATTATAAATATAAATGAATAAAAATTTAATATTTTGAAAGTTTTTTATTGTGCACATAAATTAAAATAACTAAATATATACTTTATAAACATATTTTATAAAAATAATGGAAAATTTTAGAGAAACCCTCATCTAAATAAATATAAATTTCTGAATCACATCTCATAAGATAGGAAAATTTCTGGTTCATCCATTGTCAGGTATATTTTGGGGTGGGCTTGGGAAATATTTTTCAAAATTATTAAGGTCTTGGACGCTTGGAAATATTTTAATATATAATTTTAGCCATAGGTAATCAGTAATATTTTAACAAAGAATTTTAATATGGGTCTCAAGTATAAGCTAATTTAAATATATTTTGACTCACAAAATATCACTCTTAGTCTTAATGGGTTGGAATTAACTTAAATTTTTATATTAATATATTTTCTTTAAATTTAGTTCGTATTAAGATTATTTCTAATATCTAAACGTGCAGAAAACCTATTTAAAAAATTTTTTTTTGTTAGGGAAATAAAAAATTCCAATATATAAACATTGATAAATCATGATAGTTCAAAAAAATATAAAATAGATTTGGCTTAATTAAGGAAGTTTTACCGTATTAATCAGTCCAATGTTACATTATATAATATATATACAATAGATTAAAAACAAATTTTGTTTGTGAAAAACATTGGCTTTATGATAAAAAAATTAAAAAATTATATTTAAAAGGAGGCAATTATGGCAATTTAATAAATTTACAAACAACTTTCTGTTCTTTTCCAGTTATCGCGATTAATTGATACAACAGTGGGAGTTCATTTGATGATTTATCGATTCTCTGTTGAATTCCCCCAAAGATAATAAATTTAATATATAAAAAAAGTAATAATTTGGTTTTTTAAAAAAAATATCAATTTCATATATAATCTTGTAAAAAAAATAATAATATCAATATATTATATATAACTTTGACCCCAAAAATGTCGTCCCATTAAATCGAAACTAACATATAAATATTTTTGGCAAAAATATATCTCGTATTTAATAAATGGCATGTTTTTTCTAATATAATAAATATTTATAAATTCATTAAATTCCAAATGGCAAAAAAAAATACATTATACATTTGTTTAGATTTGAATTCCCAATTCATATTTCTTATATTTAAGTTTCTTCTGCTGATTCCTAATAGTCAGGCCTGTGTAAGCAGCAGCGAAGGGGGGGGGAGTAGAGGGTCTACCTTCCCAAGCCAAATATTTAAATGCTGGCTAAAATATTTTTCCAGTGATTTCAAACCTCTTGTCGCATATATATTCCAATTTTATTTATAACATATGAGACTGAGGAGTAGTACCACTAGGAAGGGGCGTACGCCTTTTTTATACCCCCAGAAAACTGGTAATGTCTTTTGGAACCTCCTGAGATTGTAAAGGCTAGTGGGTGCCACTGCTGCAGAAATAAATAGGACTACTAATTTATTCTATGTAATTAATATGGATCAAATTTCTAACCTTTTTATAATTAGCCATCCAAATCATTTGAAAAAGAAAATCTTTTTGCGCTGCAAAAGCTAAAGTAATATAATATTTCAAAAAAAAAAATTGATATCGATTTGATTGAGATTATGAGAATAGTTGCTGAAAGCATAATATTGAAAAACTTAAGAGAATGAGGGTACAAATATAGGTGTCAAATTTTCATAAATTGTAATGTGTTGAAGTCCAAAGCGGAGCTCTGTGAATATAATATTATGTCTAAATTGACTTGTAGCAGGATAGAGTCAGTCGAAAAATACTATAAAATAAAATGCCTTTATTCTCCTTCTCGGATACTTTTATAAACTCAATTGAAGGAAAGGTGTTCTTGATGTAATCAGTCAGTTCTTATACATATCTGTAAATATTATTACTAAGGGATTCTCCCTAATTCTATTTCAAATCTTGGTATAGATAAAAAAAACATTAAATATGTGGCAGATTTTTTATTGTGAGAATGTCGAAATATCCCAACGATGCGTTGCTAGCTGAATGCAAAGGTAAAATTATGATTGACAATGTTCCCAAAAGGGTGCTATGAATGCTTCTCAAAAAAAAACGGATAACTCAACATTAAAGCCAGAAAAATATCGCCTAAACGTCGAGATTTCGCCAATAGATGTTCAATCCTATGTGCCATCTTTGAGAAAAATCTTTAGGCCTGCATAATATATTTTTCTGGATAAAATATTGAGTTAGCCGTTTTTAAAAAAATCGGCTCAAATTGATCCGTTCAACATATACTACAACCAATTAAAAAACATTTTCCTTTGATTGAATCCATGTAATTTATAAAAAATTATTTTTTATTATGACATTATTTAATTTATCTTTAGCCTTCCAATATACAAAAAAGAACTTCACCAAAATTTTATATTAGCTATTTTTATATAATAATACCAGTGTTTAACTTATTTTATTTTTTTCCCCCTCGATTAATTTTAATTTCAATAGAATGAGGATTAATTAAAATAGAAATTATTTTTTTTGCTGATGTTACACTTTATATTTTGACTAGACTTAGCCTCATCCTAGGGAATTTATAATTAATGAGACATTATATAAAACATCTAACCCTAATCAGTGTAAAAAAAATACTCTTGGTCTCTACAGACCTACTCCTGACCTTCAAAATGTTGCAGACCGATATTCAAGGACAAAACACCCTTCTCTCATCATAGAATTATCGATTCCTATGAGCAAAAGATTAAATTCGCCATTTTGCAAACGAAGCCAAGGAATCTTTATATATATATACGTCAAAAAAATTCAAATATAAACATATGGATATAATTATGTTCCCTTTTGGGAATTATCGCAAATTGTTTCTGTCTATCTCGTATTGCGATTATTTTTAAAAATAATTTTTTCTATTTTTTCAGATTATACGAATATTTGGAATTTATAAATGGAAAATATGATCTAATTGTCGTAATTATATGTATATTTTAGCTTTCGTTTTAATAAATGCCAATCAAAGCTAACGGATTTTTATCCAGTAGCTATTTATATTTTTAAACAAAGATATGTCAAACATATTTTAAAATATTTTTGATTCAATTTTTTTTTATTGGACTTTTGATAAAAATTTTTATTATCAACGACATGTTTAAATTTTTTATAACTTTGGAACAATTACTTTTTATCTTACATTTTTATAGTGTTGAAAATTATTACGTCAATAAAATATATATTTTTGCCAATTTCAATCTCATTTTTAGTAGTATTTTATTTTGAGTTAGTCAATTAGTTATTTCACTTTCCTTTTTCTTAGAACAGCTACTTATTTTAACCCATTTACTGCAAAATAATTTAAAAAACTTTAAAAATAATGATTGTGACAATTGTCACTTTTCTATGGTACATCTACACTGAAATTTTATTTAAACATGTTAGTAATACTTACTTTATCCCAATTACTTCAAAAAAATTCAGAAAACTTTAAAGATTATGATTATAACAATTGTCACTTTTCTATGGTACATCTTCATAAAATTTTAATTTAACATGTTTACAATCTATATTTTTACCCATTTGTGTCAAAAAAAATCAAAAAATTTTTAAAATAACGATTATGACAATTGTCACTTATCTAGGGTACATCTTCATTGAAGTTAAATTTAAACATGTTAACAATATTTATTATT